CACACACACACACACAGAGGCAGACACACACACACACACACACACACACACACACACACACACACACACACACACACAAACACACTCAGTAAACAGATGCCCAAGGCTTGCCTTCAAATACACGCAACAAAAAATGTATAAAAAATTCTGCACACAATCGTGAAAAAGCACTCTACCTACTGACAGATGAAAAATAACAATGGACACGAATCAGTATCAAAATGCTTTATTCAACCTGGGGGACAATGGGTAACATGACAGTTGCTGCATTTTAGATTTAAAATAAAATAAAAAGTATTCGATTATTTTTTTAGAATAAATACAATTATATTAAATAAAATAAAATAAAATTACATTAAAACTAAAATAAAAAAAAGATATATGCAAACATAAATGCCTGAATTAAATGTAAAATAAAATAAATGTAATATCACAATATATACATCGGTGCATTAGTATTAAAGACATTAATGTTAAGAACAGTGCAATGATGCACATAGTGACCATTAAGTGCAGTAATTGACCCAAACCACTTTGTTTATACTCACAAATAAACACATTTTAAATTGCACAACACCCCTTTAACATGTAGGAAGTCCTTGAGAGTGTAATCGTTGTAAAAGTTCACTTTGGAGCGGTTTTAAAGTTCGGTCCAAAACCTTTTTTTCCAACGACTAACCGTTTCTCGTCTTCTACTCTCTTGGGATGAAAAACCTGAAACTCTGTTTTCCTCTCTTCCTCCTCCTTTCCTTTTTCACCCTCCCTCTTTCCGTGTGTGTGTTTCGTTGTTTGATGGTTTAGTTTTTGCCCTCTGTTTCCCTCTCTCCCTCCACTCAGCCGTTCAAAGACGACATGGACCTGAAGCAGGACATCCGGAGCGAGAGCGACACCCGGGAGGAGTACGAGCTCAAGGTGAGAACACCCCTCACTCAGAGGCTCATTTTAGCATTAATATTGTAGCATCAGCATTTTGAACATTACATCGTTCATGGTGTATAAACATATCATACAATGTTTGTTCTGGTGAAATGAAGGTGTATCATCCTCTCTCTACCCCAACGTCACCAAACACATCATCATCATCATCATCATCCTATAATATTAGAAGCTCAGGAGTTTTTTTGATTGCCAACAATCAGAAAGTTTATGTTTTAATCCCCAGCCCTGCAGTGACCATGTTGAAGTGCCTTTGGTACTAGTAACTCCAAATTGCTCCGAACAGCATGGCCAACAGTGTGTGTGTGTGTGTGTGTGTGTGTGTGTGTGTGTGTGTGTGTGTGTGTGTGTGTGTGTGTGTGTGTGTGTGTGTGTGTGTGTCTGCCTCTCCTTCGGCTTTTATTGTGATGTGCACATAGCTACAGTGCTACAGTGTAGATATATCAATGAAAAGCTTAGGTCACAGGCTCCTCCAGCAGTGCAACACAATAAAACAGATCAAATAGTTAAAATAGTGCAAAGAGAGTCTATATACAAGTAATTGGAATATGATATATCAGATAATTGATGAGTAAGTAATGTGTTTGAATGGGTAAATGCTGAAATTGTATGTGTAAAAGTGCTTTAATGCGGTCCTTAATATAAGGCCAAGCTAATGGAAGCAAAGACCAGATGTTTAGATGTGTTTTGCCCAATTTTTTTCCTTAACAATAATATAGAACAAATATTCTGACCACAGGATCCAACCAATGGCTACTACAACGTCCGAGCCACCACCCACGAGGAGGCGCGCCCCCAGTCCCGGGCCATCCACTACCAGGGTGAGTTCCGCTCTCCGAACCCAAACATCGGACCGGCCGGCCCCCCCTCCAGTGGATCCCCTGCTGGAGCCAGCGGAGCTGTTGCCCCCAGTGGGGTCCCAGGATCCAGGTTGGGCTGCTACGACCCCCGCCCCCCATCCAGGATCTCTCACCCCACCTACGCCCAGTTCAACACCTTCACCCGGGTGGCTCAGAGCCAGCAAGCACCTCCCAATCCAACTCTACAGTCACCTGGAGATTACCCCGGAGACTGCGGTCTGATGGACAACAACACCCAGCTGGCCTACGACAACTACGGGTACCCCTCCCAGTACCCTACTTACCGGATAGGCTTCGCTCCACCCATAGAGGAAGGGCCAGCCTATGAGATGTATCCGACAGGGCAAGGGCCGGGGCCAGTGATGGGACCGGGGCCAGGGATGGGACCGGGGCCAGGGATGAGCCCAGGGCCAGGGATGGGACAAGGGCCAGGGATGGGACAAGGGCCAGCGATGGGACAAGGGCCAGCGATGGGACAAGGGCCAGCGATGGGACAAGGGCCAGCGATGGGACAAGGGCCAGGACCAGGACCAGGACAAGGGCCAGGGCCAGGACCAGGACCAGGACCAGGGCCGGGACAACAGAGTCCTGAGGCGGGTCTGGGGCAGTATGGAACCTCCACTCGCTTCTCGTATTCGTCTCCGCCTTCTGAATATTCCCAAAGACACATACAGCGGATGCAGACTCATGTTTGAGAAACACACACCCCTTGACTTGCTTTTTGAAGCTGCAGTACGTGTAACACATTCATCAAAAACATTCTTAAACAAAAAAAACAAAAAAATCTATTTCCATGGCATCCAGTGCATGGAATTTGGTTCATTTTGTAACCAATAAAACCCCACGATAACTCACCGCAGCATCGCAACAACACACACTGAGCAGCAATACACACCACACATGCAAAGCGATGCTCACATGTTTGCGGAGGACCTGAGAGATCCACATCATGAGAAAAGAGACGCAAAGAGAAAAAGAGCACTTTGAAGAAGAGTGGCTTAAAGAGGAACGGAGGAACTTTGCCCATCCTGAAATCCTCGTCCTGCTCTTGGGTCATCTCCCTGCATCACACTTTGCTCACATCCCATCTCTGTAAATAGGTGCAAATGGAGATTTTGGTCATTTTAAAGTTATGTCCTTGTACAAACCTATACAATGTGATGCAGTCCAGTGACCCACAGCCAACCGTCCTGTAATCCACACTTTTTCTGACTCTCGCATATTGCAAACACACACACACACACACACACACACACACACACACACACACACACACACACACACACACACACACACACACACACACACACACACACACACACACACACACACACAGATGTTTGAAAAAACGTATTTGTTTCGATGTACACAGCAGCTTGGACTATAAACATCTTTGGCACTTTTTGATCTCTTCCCCTCACCAAAACTTGCCCAGTGGCCATCGCTTGCCTACGAGATCTACCTTGATTGAACTGGGACACAGTTTCTTAAAGTGGGACAGTTAGTGACCAGAGTGCCAATGCTTATGTGCCAACACACACAAACTCTTAAGGTGTGTCTACTTTTGTAAGGAGTTGTCTGGACGATGAGGTTTTCTACATCTGCGAGCGAAGGAAAGGAGTGGTAGCAAGCGTCTCTATATATGCTCATTTCTCCTCCTCGTCTGTCATTTGTAATCATCATGATGCATTTCTGTACTTACATTTCACTCGAGGTCATTGCTGTGTACAGTATTTGTGAAACGAGGTGTGACGGAAGCGCTTTTTTCATTCAATCAATTTCTGCAATTTGTACAAAAAGATACCTCCCCTACCCTCCAGTGTCAAAAAAAAGTATTAGTTTCTCTCACTTGCACAGTAGAATAGATTTTGTTCCCATATTTATACGGAAACTATGAAGAAAAAAGGCATTCAGAAACATTTTATAGTATTTTTCTAAGGAGTTGTGGACCAAAGGTTCAGCGTTTTGGGTGAAACTCACTTTTTAAAGTGTACGTGGCGACATGGTCGTTATTGGAAACGTTTTGAGTTTCTTTAAAAAGTGATGGATGGTGGTATTGAAGAGGTAGTTTGTAGACTAAAAGGAAAGAAAATTGAAGAGCTTCAATCCAAAATGATAAATATCCAGCGAATCTATTTGGGGGGATATCTCTGTTTGGTGTGAAACTCTTTCTGTGACTTCCAGTCTTTTGACCGGACTGCCTTTTTTCAAACGTCGACGACATTCAAAATGGTGGATGGAGAAGAAAGCAGCTGCTCTCTTTGAGCTGTGAACTCTGTAAGAAATGTGAAGTGTGGTCTAACATATCAAAATGAAGGCACAGAGGGTTCTATCTAGCTCATACGGTACTTTGTACATTTCTATGTAAAGTAAACTGGTGTGTCCCTGCAGAAGAAAATGTGGTGGTATTTTATGTCTGAGATGTTTTCCGTTATATAGTGTCAGCTTTTGTTCGTGTGTTTGGACTTTAACCCAACAGGCTCATAATAATCAGCGTTTAAAATGATGCTACTAACCTCTAACCTCTACTCAGCCCCATGAACTCCCAGAAACAAATTATTTTACAACAAGAGAGAAGATCACATGTGTCTGTTTGTCTGGTAGGGTCTTAAATAACCCGGACGTTTTCTCACTTAAAGCGCCAAATAAGTCCAAATGAATATTACATTTAGCTTTTAAAAGGCTATCAAAACCAGAGTGTACTGTACCTGGAATATGGAACAATCAAATATATTGCCTTATAACGACATCTCAATGGGTATGTATAAGAAAGACATTATAAAAAAACAGTGATGCTTTGGCAACATTGTTTAATTTAACTTTCATGCCAATAAAGCCCCTTTGAATTGAATTGAATTGAATAAAAAAACAGTTGTCATGCCAACTATGGTTACAAGAAGACCGTTTTTGACTTGAAGCTTTGAATGTCTAAATGACATCTTTTGAGATGTTCCCCCCCACAGGAAATAATTTGACTTCCAGCGACTTATCAATAATGTTGCTTGCTGTGTTAACACGGAGCTAAAAACATTTCACTAAAGCAACAACATGTGCTTAAGTAAGATCAAATTCCTACTGGTTTTCAAATTGGTTCATGTTTGCACGCACTGAGATTTGTAAGTAAGATTCGATTTATTTTTGTATCATACCATCTCGCAAATTCACCTGTAATGGTGACAATCATGTGTTGATTAGACGAAGCAGCAGCCAGCAGCAGCAGCAAACTTTACTTTGTACTAAACTCTAAAGTTCCATTGGTTTTATTACGTTTTTATTCCTTAAGGGACATTAGATAATACATTGTTTTGGCAATCACCAGGAACTGCTTCGACATTTTCTTGATGTTCTCCCTTTTCTTAAGGGCACGCTTTATTGAGAAGTCAAAGTAAAAAAAGGGCTGTCTGCAATGAAACCCCCCCTCTTCTCTTTCTATCTCTTCCATACGTTTGTGATAGCAGTAAAAAAAATGAAAGCAGATGCTCTGAAAAAGACCTGCGGCTGCAAAGTGAAGTCAAATATCTCTGGAGGTAATCATTGAGTCTTAATACTTATCAGCCACCCCATCAACCCTTCACAGATACATTATATTATGGTAATTATTTGCTAGGGGGCAGTAAAAGTTGTATTTATTGCCCCTGTTTTGAATAAACACTTTCAGAAAGGAAACGGCAGCCACGCCATTTCTGATTAGAATATCAGATGGAGCCTTGTAGCTTCAAGGTCACCATATAAAACATTGCTGTGTAGTTATAGGAGAAGAATGGCAGATGGAGCACCCTTTTAAATTGATATGGTTATCACAGCCTTGGTACTGCATACTATTACCTCGTTACAATCATTTTTACAGAGTTGTAGCCGTGCAGTATTCTGCATCTGACTTGAAATGACGTTATGACCTTGTGTAGAATGAGAACATTTGACACGGAGGACGAAGAACAACAAAAACACAGCCAGGTACTTAGTCCTTCCCTCTTTAGTTTTTACACTCTGTTGACATCAGGGGCATATTAATATGTAAAAGACACCATACAGTAGATGCCAGAAATGCAAAACAGAGGTGTAAAGTTTGAAATAAGAAATGCAGCTTATGAGGGAATCTGGAAGTGTTTACTGCACTTTTCTTTTATGTTGTTCCCCTCTTCTCCTTATGTACCTCTCATCCCTTTACTCTCTGCTTTCTCCCCTGCGTCACATTAACAGCCACCTAACAGCTTCCAATTTAAAAGGTTGTCTTTTCATAAAAAAAATACTCATATCAACAGAGGAAACACATCCCTCATAGCTTTCTCCCAAATTGTATTGGCGCCATTACCACATGGAGTACATGTAGGTGTATTCGTGTATATGTGTTGGAGCGTTGGGAATCCATTTGTAGAGAACATATATCATCCTCGTTTATTTCTTTGTATGATAATCATCATTTTGAATGTTATTGTCTTGGTATTAATTTGTGTTCTCGCCTCACCAGTGGAAGAAAGGACTGTTGTCAAAAGTGTGTTTTATATGCAGTATTTTTCTGTGTATGCATCAGATAGAGGGGGTCCTAACTTCTGATTAATCAACCCAGCAAAAAAGAGAGGGTGTGTGTGTGTGTGTGTGTGTGTGTGTGTGTGTGTGTGTGTGTGTGTGTGTGTGTGTGGCCAAAAGACTACTCAGCCAGGCCACAAATAGCCAAAACTCTGTGTCAACTAGGCCAAACCAGGCTAAAAACCAGGCCAGAGCCACAGCTAACGTCTCTTTTCCACGCTGTGCTGTGCCGCGCTTTCCAAGAACAACTCAAGTGTCCATTTTACATTGTGGAGTCTTCATTCAGTGCCAAAAGCAGAACATGAACTGAGCAGGCAAACAAATGCAGCAGCCATTTGTGTGTGTGTGTGTGTGTGTGTGTGTGTGTGTGTGTGTGTGTGTGTGTGTGTGTGTGTGTGTGTGTGTGTGTGTGTGTGTGTGTGTGGGCTAGCTGTTTGAATCTCCATTTATGCACATGTACTGTCACCATCTGTGACCATGTGTGTGTGTTGATGTGTGTGTTGGCAGCCTGTAACACCAGTGTGTATTCATATCATTAGACAGGTCTACTGGTCTGTAGAAATTGGGGTTTGACTGACTGGTTTTGGTAAATATCAGATATTATCAGCTCATAGCCTGACTTTTTATGAAAAATGTTGATTGATTTGAGCAACCACTACAACATCTTCTGTGTCACTTTGAGATGACATTTAGGAGGGATAGAAAATGGCTCTTGCAACTGATGGTGGGAGAACAACATGACTCTTACTTCCAAATGTAGATTGGCCTATCACCAAGATGTCAGACTGTAAAACAAAGTGAAACGTAATGCCGATTCAGTCTCAACGGCTAGTAAACAGCAAAAACTGAAACGTTTTAATCCGTGCTGATTCATTATAGTTTTAAAACTTGGTTTGGGATTTTATTATTAGTCTTGGTGGAAACAGACACTTTTGAAAACACTCGCTGCCTGATTGTGTCTTAACGGTGACAACCTGTCCTTCCCTGATTGGTCACGACCTTAGCATGTGACCCTTTTCTGGGAGAAATCAAACAAATCAGCCTTGACTACTTGACTACTAGAAGTTAATTCAGCATAGTAACACATTAGGTTAGCTCACCTTGTTTTCTACACAAACAGCTGTAATGGAGATAAGTGTCTTTTAGGGTTAGGGGTCTTTGGATTCAAGAAAAGCGCTATAGAAATATAATTTATTATTATTATTATTATTTATAAGCTCTTCTTATTGTAATGCTACTGCTGCCTCAATGCAAGCCAAAATGTAGCTATTTGTTAAATTCCCTCGTTCAGCGGCATGGACCTGTTTCATGTTTACACCGACTCGTGCCTGCCAAGTTTACGTGAACAGTCGTGAGTTTTCAGTATTAACTGCAATCATTTCTGAAACGGTGCTACAACGATCTCACGTGCACGGATACCTTAAGTAAAAACATGGTGTGGCTGTAGACCTGTCTCAAGTTGTCAAGGGGTGAACACTGAGGCATGAACTCAATTGCACGACTCAAAACTCAGACTCAGATAGCGTTTCAAAATAAAGACTTTACTAGAATTTTGCACAGTAATAAAAATAAGGAAAACAAAACACTCTTTCGAGGAAAACTAGAATCGTGATCTATATCATAGATCCATGAAAGGTCCGTGAGGTAAGCCGATACGTAGGTCAACGAGAGACAACGAACTGACAATGAACAGGAGGGAGCTAACACAATATATACACAGGTAAAGGGGACACAGTTGGAAACAATCAGGGCGGGGAAAATAATCAAGGACGCAGGAGACGGAAGGGGGCGGGGAGCGTGGAGGCCTGAATAAACTTTCACTATAAGTTTCTTGGACATGACACAAGTGGCATAAAGATGATGTTTTAAACCCACCATGACTTATTTTATCAAAATGCAAATCAATTGGGACTAAAATCTAAAGGATTATATTCAAATGGCCTTAATGAGCTGTAAAACTTAACATAATTGTCTCTCCAATTTATGTCACATTGCACTTTAGAGGCATATCCACCTTGTTGAGGAGATTCAGTTGCTTTTTAAATCCAAATTGTACATTTTGAAGGAGTTGAATATTATATAAAAGGAAACCATATCAGTCAAACCCTAGTTGGAAGCAGGCCAGCTGGTAGGACAGAGTGAAGGAGACATTGCGTGGCCTTAGGACACGAGGAAGGAGAAACAGCTGCACCAGTGGACAGGATGAATTGATGTGAAGACGACCATCAGAACAGTGAGGAGGACGCCATGTTGCACTTCAAACATGTTTAAAGTGGAGTTGTGCATGTGGGTGAGC